CCAGCTCTGGGATCCACCCAACATACGCTGAGAGGCCTCCTTTGGAGACATGATGTTCCCTGGAGGACTTGTTCCTTGAATTTTTCCGCCCTTAAAAATTCCACGACCTCCACTGGGTTTGAACCCGCGTACCTTGAGTCACGAGGTGGGAACGTTACCCCTAGACTACGGAGGCCGCTTTGTCTTCAAGTTCTCCTTTCCATCACACACCTATCAGTCTTCCGTTGTCTTTTTCATTTTTTATTTTAAACTTTTTGTCAAAAGATCCGATAGTACTCTTTTGAAATCATGATGAAAATATGCAAAGGTGTCAGGGTGCAATGATCAAGGTAATATTTAAACTTTCCACCTCTGCTATGTATTCTGGGAGTCTCTTTGCAGCTGCATCCAACTTCTTGACTGGGTTAGCTACCGCTTACTTCTTTTGTCCATCATTGCTAGCTGTTCTCCAATCATTTCGAATGACAGTGCCATTCCAGTTTCTATCTTGCTCTCTGTTGAACGGTTTCTTGAATCAGATGGGAGTTATTTGAGTAAATGTAGTCACTTCATCAAGGATAACAAATGAAGAAATTGCAATATTCATGAAAATTATAATGCTAAACTATAATACTTACTTACTTACTCACTCACTCATGGAGCTGAGCCCTTCTGAGCCGCCAATTCTGCAGCTACTCAAGAATTTCCCACCATTTTATGGAACCCGAAGGTTCATCACCGTGTTCACAAGAGCCCTCCACTGGTCCCTATCCTGAGCCAGATCTATCCACTCCATACCATCCCATCCTATCCCTTTAAGATCCATTCTAATATTGTCTGCCCACGTACGCCTTGGTATTCCTTGTGGTCTCTTTCCTTCTGGCTTTCCTACCAATATCCTATATGCACTCCTCGTCCCCCCATTCGTGCTACATGACCTGCCCACCTCATCCTCTTTGACTTGATCATTCTAATTATACTTGGAGAGGAGTACAAGTTATGAAGCTCCTAATTATGTAGTTTTCTCCAGCCTCCTTCACTTCATTTCTCTTCAGTCCAAATATTCTCCTCAACACCCTGTTCTCAAACACCCTCAGTCT